CTGCGGTCGGAGTTAGATTTACAACCTTGGGGACTCTCCAGACTTCTGCAGCTTTTGTTTTACAAGCTTTATGATCACTAAGTATTACATCCTATACATACTTTTTGGGTTCCCACCTGGAACAAACCTAACAAAGACCATTTTTATTTTGTTCACTATTGTATCACCAGCACCTAGAATAGTGCCTGGAGTGAATGAATGCTCTGGGTTGCAGATAGTGACGAGACATCACTTTAGACACTGGTGCTTTACAAGAGCTGGGACCCCATGTGATGGCAGCCCTGGGACTACCGGGGGTCCCCGCACTAACATACAGAGCAGTCTCCGACGCTCGGTGCTGCAGTACCAGGAGGTGCCATTTGCACAGACAGCAGAGAGGATGGCGCCCCCTGGGGCGGTGCAGTGCTGTTGGTGAAAGTGGCCCTCACAAGCCTGCGCTGCAGGAGTCTGACCCCATGTCTCTGCCACCCTCAGATGCTTTGCCCTTCACAGGGCGTCAGTCACCTGCCAAGGCCCCGCCCTTTCCAGAAGCCCCGCCCCCAGGCTCCCAGTCCTGCCTCTACCCCACTCTCAGGATGCCCGCGCTGCCCTCCATTCCTCCCTTCCTTTCAACATCGCCAAGTCCTGGCCTTTGATACTCCCCTGCGAAGGAGGGTAGGGTGAGTATTCTTATAGCCCGATCCCCTTCTCCACCACTCCACTGTTGGGACAACAGGCCTGAGCAGACTTCCTCTTCGAGGCTCTGGGGAAACCGACTCCCCTCCCCTTCAGCTAGGCGGGGTGGGGGTGTGTGGGGGGGTGGGGGTGTGTGGGGGGGTGGGGGTGTGTGGGGGGGTTGGAGGCCCAGTAGGCTGGAAGCCGTCCAGAGGCGTCTCTATGTCTGGGTTCTAGCGCTGGGGTTTCACCTGAGGCCTCCAGCTTCCTCTCTTGTTTTTTTTACCCAACTCTTCCTAGTGAGCCAAGCCTTTCTACCCCAACTAGACATCCTAGCCCCCAGCCCCCAGTCCAAGTGCCCACCGTCAGGCAGACTGGGGCTGCAGTCCCAGCTTTGTCACTCACCATTTGAGGGGACTTGGGATGTCACTTTACTTTTCTGTGCTTCAATTTCCTTATATATAAAATGGTACTGATGATACCTCACAGGGTTGTTTGAGGATGCAATGATAAAATGCAAATAAGGGACTCAGCTTGAGTCTGGTACGTGGCCAGCGTGGAAAAGTAGTGGCTTTCTCTATTCCCTGTGGGCCACTTCTTCCCACCTGGCCCTGATGTATGGTTCTCTGTTTTTACTTAGTCAACAGGTCAACTCAGAGAGGTGGTACGTAGTAGTTCAGAGTACATATTCTGGAAACAGACTGCCCAGGTAGGACCCCCTCGCTCTGCCATTTTACTATCTGTCTGGCCTGGGCAAGTTACTTAACCTCTGTCCCTCTGTTTTCTCATCTGCAACATAAGAATGGTAACAGTACTTAAAGCAACGCCCAGCACCTAGGAAGCACTCACGGCGAATTAGCTAGTACTACAGACCCATGTCCTTCCAGGTGGACAAAGTTTCAGGGGCCATCTCGGGAGTTCTCTGACCAGAGAAGTGCATGTTTATTCTTACAGCGGGACTCTTGGAGGAAATTCCCCAATTAGGAGTCCTGCTCCTTTGTGAGATTTCATTTCCAAAGTTTTCTGGTTGTTTCTAAGTTTCTCGAAACCTAGAAGAAGGGGGTGACATGGGTGAGGCCTTGCCGAGAAGTTGAACATGAGATGATCATAACATGATCAAAACCGTATGGCTCTAGCTCTAACCAAACACTCAACCACGCAACAGAGAAACAGCCTCTGTCGTGGGAACTGGCTGTGCTCCAGGTGGCGGTAGGGGGGCATAGTGGGAAAGGGCCATGTCCAATTCCATTTTTATTGATCCAATATGTATCTGGGCTTATTCTGTGCCAGACCCTGTGCAGAACAGTGTTGGCGACACTGGATATGGACAAGGCCCAATCCTTTCCCCTGGGAGCTCTCTCAACAGGCAGGACAGGGAGCTTTTTGTCCAAAAAAGGCCAGGAGCTCCCTGAGCAGGGATGTCAGTCCAGATACCTTTAGGGAGATATTGGCTGCTGAGACCACAGGCTTTCAGGAGAGGAGGTATCACTCAGCTGCAGGCCTTCAACCTGGAGCAGACATCAGGTGCCAGAGAGAGGAAGGTGCATAGCTAGAGGCAGGCAACAAGGCCTCCATATCCTTGTGGGATAGCTAGGAGTCCATGCCACCCCTCAGAGAGTTGGCAACCTCATCATTGTCAGAGGTAAGCAGGTAGGCTCTTGGCCCACCAGAACTCGGGGTAAATGAAGATAACAGTTGGCAGTGTATCATAGTGACAGGAAGCACATGTTGATTAGATGGAGTTACAGTGCTGAGAATGCTTGAGTGGGACAGGACAAGCCTCAGATTGCTGGGCTTATGTACCTGGCAGGAAGATAAAGGGATCAGACCCAGTGCCCAGGAGGGGTTGCTATGGCTGGGGGAGGGGGGCTGGGAGAAATAGCGAGGGAGAAAGCTAGGATGGAAAATGCTGGCAGAGGAGGGTGGGAGGGTTACAGGCTTGCTGCCTGTGGAGCTCTGAAAATTCTTCATTTCCCAGGCTCCTAGGGTCAAGCAGAGGACAGTTCAATCCAAGGCATTTCACTATTATTATCACTATATTCACTATAAATTATCACAGATTATTTCCTCTCTTCCTGAGCTCCAGCTTCCCCTCTGTTCTCAGAGTGTGGCCTTAGGGACCCCAGGAGGTGGGAGAGTTTCTGGGTGTGCATGGCATTGTGGGGAGCCCATGCACACATTGGGGGGAGCCCATGCACACGTTGGAGCCCATGCACACGTTGGGGGAACCTTGGGTGAAATCCCAAGGTTCAGGAGCCAAGTCTTTGTTTGGGAGGAGTCTCAAAAATAAAACCCCTCCCTCCTAGCTGGCAGATGGGGAAACTGAGGCTTCAGGGTACAGAGTGGGGAAGAAACTTACCCAGAGTTGCACCACGAGTGGGGCAAAGATGGTACCATGAGACTCTGACTTAGGCATCGAGTTCAGGACTTGCTGTTGTACCTCCTAGTGGCGTGGAGGTAGTGTCCAAGGGCCTCTGTCCTGGTCATATCTTCTTGAAGGCTCCCACCCTCACCTCCCCCTACTCTGTCTGTTCCCCTGAGGGTCCACAGGGGGTTTGTGTCTGCTTCTCTGACAGGCTGACTTCCTCTTGATTTCACTGGGAAATGAGAAGGATCTGAGGCAATGTGCTCGCCTCATATGTGTGTCTGTCCTCTGCCTGCTGGGAGGCAGGGCACAGGGTCCACAGCTGGAAGATCTGGAACTCCAAGCATGGCTGGCTTGATGGATGTATTAATGGATGGATGGGTGGCAAGTGGGTGGGTGGGCGAGTGGGTGTGGTGGAGGTCTAATGGATGCAGAAACAGCTGGATGAATGGATGCACGAATGCATGAGTGGATGGGTAACTTCCTCCAGGCAACACAGCCAGACTTCCCAGCCAGAGCAGCTGTTCTTGAAAACTATCCCCATCTCCCCACCCCATGACTCTGACACCTCAGATACCTGAGGTTTGAACACCTGCTTCTGGGAACAGAGGAGAGGAAGAGGATGCCACTCTCTCAGCCCAGTGAGGAGGGGCTGGCACAACACCCTCACCATTGTCTCTTTCTAAGGCCTGCCCAGGCCTGGTTTTGATTGCCGGCCAAGGTACATCTAGTATAATGATAGACTCTCTTCCCAGGCAGAGATGCTCAATCTAGCCTCCTGGCTGCCATCTGACCCGAGCGGCATGGGCTTGTCACTCCCGGCCAGACAGGCCCTTAGAGGCTATAGTCTGGAGGCTGGCCAGCTTCCCCAGGGCTTTCCCAAGCCTGAGGCGCTCACTCCTCACTGAGCAGCCCTGTGGGATGCTGCAGGAGTCACAGGGCTTTCGTCCCCCAGAGCTGAGGCTCCTTCCCCATCTTAGCTGGGGAGACTTTCCCCGTCTCGGGGTTGCCTCTGAGCCCTGGAGCCCCTGTGGGCGGCAGGGGTGGCGGTGGGTCCTCCCTGCTGAGTCTCCCCAGCTTCCCTGGCTGCTCCTCCTTTGACCCCATGGGCCTCGCTCCCATCTCTGACCTCTGTCTCCCAAGTCTGCCGTGTCCCTGAGAGGCAGGGCCCCAGGATTGCCCAGAGGGGGCTGACCATGCTCAGACTGACGAGCGAGTGAGGAGGGCTGGCCCGGAGGTGAGGTTCTGTATGGACAGAAGGGGCAGATGGGCCTCACCGTTGGCTGCAGAGCCTGACCTCCCATATTTATTCATTCTCTAGACTAATATTTGTTGAGTGACTACTTTGTGCCAGGCAGCATGCTGGACACCAGGAAAAGAGTAGAAACTAAAATAGACATGATCTCTGTCCAGGAAGATGGACAGAACAGCAAGTCAGTGTGATGAGGAAGGGAGAGAGGCTATCGCACCCTGCTGGGGTCAGGGAAAGCTTCTTGGAGGAAGAGGCATCCAGACCCAGAGGGGAAGCCAGGGGGCAGAGGAGACAGAAGAGCATGCCAGGCAGAGGCAATGGTGCTGGTGGATACGTACTTCTCCCCGGGGCAGTAGAGCTGGGCCCTCTGTCCCTCCCCCTGCCATGACAGCTGGCTCCCGACAACTCCTTTCCCTCCAGTGACACATGATCACTGACACACCTGTATACTTGAACACCTGCCTTAGAGAGCAAAGACCGGAAGGCATGAGAGACTGGCTCACTCAGAGAAGTGACACAGGTTTAGTGTTGCTGAGTGTGGAGTGTGACAGGGCTGTGAGGAGGCATGTGAGGGGCCCTGACTGTGGGGGCTGATCCTGAGAGCATCAAGGTGTTAGGTGGTGGTTGGCAAGGAGATTGCTCAGGCCACTGGGTGGAAAATAGATCCCCCCATCCCATCTCCGTCCTTCCTAGTCCTGTCCTCTTGGATAGACAGCAAACAGACGCAGGTAGATCTGTGGGTGCCAGGTGGCTTTATTAGAAACATTGCAGTCCGGATGTGGAAAAGCGGTGCTCTCACCACACTCACCCTCTTGCTCACACTCACACTCACATTGACACTCCAGGCCCTTCCCTGGCTGGGCCAGGTCTGATGCAGAGGAGCTGGAGGCCTGGGCCTCCATTCTGGTCCTCAGTTCCCCAGGCCAGGGCGGTTCACATGCCTCCACTCAGACACAGGGCTCCCTTTGGCGCTGTCACGGGCTAACTGCTGTGGCGCTTGCTCTGGGGGAGGAAGGAGAGGCAGGGTCATGGGCTGGACTCTTAGGGGCTTAGAGGGAGGAGGCAGGGCCGGGGAGGGCCAGACTTGCCTTGGCCAAGGTCTTCGTCAGTCTCCGGATGATGCGGTCCACCCAGGGCTGGTCTGGGGGTGCACAGAGCTGGTAGCCTCTCATCGTGGTGAACCTGGAGTGAGAGGACAGAAGACAGAAAGAATGAAGCCCTGGAAACCAGCGTGGCTGGGGATTTGTTTCAGGAGTTTCCTTGAAGGAGTTGGGCTTGGCTAGGAGAAGCAGAAGGAGGAGGTGGGAGTATCATCCGGGGATGATGGGGGCCATGAGGCTGGACACTGTCCCCTGAACTCACACAACAGCAGGCACCCTGCAGCCATCTTTGATGAGGAGGTATCGAAAGGCTCTCACAATGTTCCCGGGGATGGGGCGCTGGGTCACAGACAGGCAGCAGTCTTCAGCATCGTTGGCACCACCGAGAGCTGGGGCTGTGACAAGACACAGGGACCTTGAAGAGGGGAGGCCATGGCCCTAACCTGTGTGTGTGTGTGTGTGTGTGTGTGTGTGTGACAGTTAGACCCATATGGCCTTACTGGTTGCTAAATATATTGTAACACTTCTAAACTGTTTGGTAAACAACCTCCACCCTGAGCCCCGCAAATGCCTTCCTGCTGCCCTGTCACCCCTGCTTCTCTCCCAGGACCTCTCAACTTCCCCACAATCTAGCAAATAAAGAGTTAATACTGGTCCCAGCCCTGGAAGAGAGCGGGGATGGGGAGAGGCTGGTGTTAAGGGGCTTAGAAATTGCTAAAAATTTGGACCACCAGCCTTTCTCCCTACCTTAAGCAAACATATATTGTTCTCCCCTGCCTAGGAAACTGAGGCAGCAGGAAACAGAGCCTGCAGAGAGAGGGGCAGCAATAGGCCCTGGGTTGCACCAAGAGACAGTCCACATGGGGACTGAGGTACAAGTGCACCCGCACTCACAGACACACACAGGGAGTCTCCAGGCTCACCGAGACACGCCGACCTCCATATTCACGCACGAACTCACTGTGTCCCTCATGTCCAGTGCCAAGCAGTCTGAGATCTGGACATCACCATCCCTGCCCACCCTCCACCCTAACCCTCCCCTCAGCCTTACCTGGGGAAGTCCAAAGAGCCAGCAGGCTGAGGGCTAGTAGTGGGATCATACGGGGTGCCATGGAGGCGACAGAGGCAGACTGGCAGTGAGTGTGAGCGAGCGGCTCTGGGCGTGCACAGCAGTCGGTGTGAGGCAGCGGCTGGCTGGGCATGCAGGGGAGCAATGGGAAGTGCACGGGTATCCTTGCAGGGTGTGAGGAGTGTGAGCCTAGGAGTGTGAGCTGGTGAGCTTGTGTGAGCCAGTGGCTGCTTCCTATTTATGGCTAGGAGCTTTTTTTTCTCTGTCCAGAAATCCCCTCCATGTCTCACTCTGTGGATCCCCTCTGCCCCCCTCTTTCTAGCAAGACCTGACCCTGCCCTCTCTCTTTCCTTCTCAGCGGCTTTTCCCCTTTTCTGTTTTCTTGGCTTCAGCTCTGAGAACCTAAGTAGTCTGCAATCTGCACTGTTACTCCAGAGAGAGGGCTTGCACTGTCATCTCATTGGTGGCATTTGCGTCATCAACCATGGGGCCAGGATTCAGAAGTGATAGTCACGGTTGGGGCCAGGGTGAGTCCTTCATCCTCACTAGTGCTTCTAGTGCAGGCTGGTGGGGAAGAAGGCTCCCTGGGACCCTCAGGACAGCCATGAGAGCCTGGGGTGGCCTCCCAGACCATCACAGTGCCTGCCAGTCCACCATCTGGGAATCATTCCCTCCCTTAGGACAAGCAGAGCTGAACAGCAACATTCCTTAGGAGGAGGCCCAGGACTCCCATTCCACATCTCAGGTCTCTGAGATTCAACCTCCTGGCTTAGCAAGCACTGACTCCCCTCCCCCAATCCACCATTTTCCTACGTCCAACACCCAGGTTAGAGGAAGAGCTGGAGGGAGGCTGGCCTGCAATAGCCCCTTCATCTTTCCTCTACCCTCAATCCTGGGAACCAAGAGGGGATTTCTAAGAAGAAGGGCTGGCCAGCTAATATTCAGACATATCCAACATTTCAAGGAATTGACGGATGGAGGAGGGGACAAATGATTTCCAGAAGAGAACACTCAAAAGAAGAAATTGACATATGAGACACCCATGCAACTGCCCCATCCAAGCTCTGGACCCTCTTTTGGATGGGGGCGGGGTGAGTGTTTCCCTCTTAAGCTTCTTACTTCTCTTTCTTTCCATCCATTAATAATAACAGTAACTGTATTTTTGATTGCTTACTATGTGCTAGGCTCTGTATCAGGGACATTACCACTATTACCTTGCTTAATTTTCCCAACAATACTATGAAGTGGTTTTTAGTATTTTCATATTATTATCTCTGTCTTACACATAAGGAAAATGTGACTCATAGAACAAGATCACAAACCTAGTAAGAGCTGGAGCATGATTTGGAACCAGGTGTGTTTTGTTGTAAGGTTTGCATTGTTTACCTCTGCCTTGCACTGCCACTCTGCCAAGTTCACTGGTCACATAATGCATGGCACATGGCACAGAGGAGGGACTCTACAGATAGTGTGCTTAGGTTGGGATTCAGATTCCACAGCTTACTAGCTGTGTGATCATGTGAAATGTATCTAATCTCTGTGTCTTAATGTCCTCATTTGTATTATAAAATGGGAATGGTAAAAGATTCTTAGGATTAAATGAGGTACTCTGAGTAAAGCGCTTAGCTTAGAGGCTAGCACACAATAAACACTAGTAGCCATTATTATGCTTCTATACTTTTATTCAGATATCTGTCCATTCATTCATCTATCATCCATCTTTCCGTTGATCCATCCATCCATCCTTCTGCCTCTGGTAGTTCTGGCTGTCCTCTGTTTGCCCCAACCCCATCCAGTCTCCACCCTTCTCTGCCCTGCTCTGTTCCCTGGAAGGCTGACCTCTACAGATTGCATTCCCAGGGTCCCAGGCCCTCTGGCTTCTCTTTGGTTTTGGCCCATGGGAGGCAGCAGCAGCAGATCAGTGGTAGAAGGAGAGAGAGGTTGGGGTATTAATTCCCCAAGTCCTTCATCTTGATGCAGTTCTAGCAGCAAATAATTTTCTCTGTGGCAGTCCTCAAATAGTCTTCAGACAGCAGCATTAGCATTCCCTGGGGGCTTGCTAGAAATGCAAGTTCTTAGATCCTGCTCCAGACCTATTAATACAGACTCTGAGGGTGGGGTCCAGCATAGTTTTTTTTGTTTGTTTGTTTTATTTTGTTTTTTTCCAGAGACAGAATCTTGCTCTTTTGCCGGGGCTGGAGTGTAGTGGCATGGTCTTAGCTCACTGCAGCCTTGAACTGCAGGGCTCAAGCAGTCCTCCCACCTCAGCCCTTACCCCCCCCAAATAGCTGGGGCTACAGGCACACACCACTACACCTGGCTAATTTAAAAAAATTGTTTTGGTAGAGATAGGGTCTTGCTGATCTTAAACTCTTTGGCTCAAGTGATCCTCCCACTTCGGTCTACCAAAGTGCTGGGATTATAGGCATGAGCCACCCACCTGGCCCACAAGCTGTATTTCAGCACACCCTCCAGCTAACTCTGATATATGCTAAAGTTTGAGACCCACTGTTCTACAATTACAGACCCTTTTGGGCTGCTTCCCCTCCATGGGCCTATCTCTAACTAAAGCTTTTGAAACATTGTTCCCTCCTCTTGCCCCTTCAAGGCCTTGGTATGATTAATGGTTTCCCATCATTGCTCGACCCCAAGTGACTCATCATCTCACATTGGTTCCTTAATCTAGAACCCACCTCTTAAGTTGCCCCTTTATTAAAATCTTTCTGGTTAAATTATTTGAGTGTGTAATATATATATATATATATATATATATATATATATATGTAATTGGTCTTCATCCTCCTCCTCGTGATATATAGCTCCTAAAATCCTTAGAATCTTGGGAGCAATGAGTGTCTTTTGTGTGCTAAAGAGATGTCTGGTGGCTGGGGCCCCTTAGTCAGATGCAGGATGGGAGCTGATTGCCAGAGGAATCAATCCTGGGATTAGAAGATTGAAATTTTCAATCCTACCCACCTCCCACTTCTGGGGATAGGGGAAGGGGACTGGAGGTTGACTCAATAAACCAATGGCCAATGATGTGATCAATTATGCCTATGTAATGAAGTTTCCATGAAAATCCAAAAGGATTGAGTTCCTGGAGGAGGAGGTTCCTGGAGGATGCCCGGAGAGGGCATGGAATCTCCACACCCCTTCTCCCATGCCTCACCCTGGGTATCTCTTCCATCTGGCTGTTCATCTGTATCCTTTGGAATATGCTTTATAATAAATGGGCAAGTGTAAGTAAAGTATTTCTCTGAGATCAGTGAGCCAATCTAGCAAATTAATGGAACCTGAGGAGTGGGTAATGGGAACCCCTATTTATAGTCAGCTGTAGTAGGCCACAATCTGTGCTCATGACTGGCATTTGAAGTTGGGGGGCAGTCTCGTGGCACTGAGCCCTCAACCTGTGGGATCTGATGCTGTCTCCAGGTAAATAGTGTCAGAATTGAATTGAGTTAGAGGAAACCCATCTGGTGTCTGCTGGAAAATCACCCGCCAGTGAATTGCTTGGAAGGGAGAAATCCCCACATACTTCTTCGGGGCCAGAGGTCACAGAAGTATAAAGTGGTGAGTAGAGAGTAGGCAAAGGGTTTGGTTTTTCCTATATCTTTGCAGTGTGCCATCTGTTTCCTGCCTGGTTCCTCACTGATACAATACATGGAGAAATCGCAGGAAACAGATTTCCAAAATGAGATTCTAGGATCAAGTTACTCATATATTTGATTAGCGTATGGATAATTCCTTTCCACAGGGAAAGAGGCTATGCAACCTGGAGCATGCAGAGGCATCACAGTCACTTAGACTATCATCAGTGAGGCATCGTATGCGATGTTGGAAGATAAGACATTAGGAGATAAAGTACCTGACACACTTAATCACTATGGCCACAAATGATGATTGCAAATGGTGATTACATATATTGTTACATGGGCTGCCTGTTTTTGATTATACTAGCAAAATTACATTAAGAAAAGATTAGGATCATGAACTAACTCAAGGCATGGGTGGAGATCCAGATAACCTCTATGGAAATCTTGGCTAGGCGAGGTGGCTCACACTTTCAATCCTAGCACTTTGAGAGGCTGAGGCCAGCGGAAGGATCACTTGAGGACAGCCCGAGCAAGACCAAAACCTGTCTCTACAAAAAAATAGAAAAAATTAGCCAGGCATGGTGGCATGCTGTAGTCCCAGCTACTCAGGAGGCTGAGGCAGGAGAATCCCTTGAGCCCAGGAGTTTGCGGTTGCAGTGAGTTATGATGACACCACTGCACTCTAGCTGGGCAGACAGAGCAAGACCTTGTCTCAAACAAACAAGCAATGAACTTCTATGGAAGTCTAAGGAGTTCATTTATTCATTTATTTATTTAGAGACAGAGTCTCTCTCTGTTGCCCTGGTTAGAGTGCAGTAGAATCATCATAGCTCACAGCAGCCTCAAACTCCTGGGCTCAAGGGATCCTCCTGCTTCAGGCTCCCAAGGAGCTGGGACTACATGTGCATGCCACAATGCCCAGCTCATTTTTCTATTTTTAGTAGAGTCTAATTTTTCTATCTTTAGGAGAGAACAGGATCTCACTCTTGCTCAGGCTGGTCTCGAACTCCTGAGCTCAAATGATCTGCTGACCTTGGCCTCCCAGAATGCTAGGCTTACAGGCGTGAGCCACTATGCCCAGCCAAGGAATCCTTATTTTATATGGTCACATGGCAGGCATGGCAGGGGATCAAACTCAAGACCTGATTGTGTGGATTGTAGCATTGCAACATCAAGTAAGTGCACAACTCTGCCATATTCCTTATGCTAGAATGAAGACACTGTTGGGAAGGAGTAGGACTATGAGACTTGGGATGAGAACATTTGGGCAGAGATAAACAAACCTGAAAATTGTGGACCTCCATATCCCCCTGAACCTTCCTGGCTGGCAGAAGAATATTCCTCCTTCCCCTGTAAACCAGGAAGGACCCAGCCTTCCCTTCTCTGAAAAATATTTTTGGCCAGGTGCTCATGCCTGTAATCCTAGCACTGTGGGAGGCAGAAGAGGGAGGATTGCTTGAGATCAGGTGTTTGAGTTTGCAGTAAGCTATGATGATGCCACTGCACTCTAGCCTGGGTAACAAACCGAGACTCTGTCTCAAAAAATTTATATTTTTAACAACTCCCTGGCAAAGAGTATGCCTTTTCTCCTCAGGATCCATGCTGACCACCCCTCATAGTCTCCAGGCCCACAGTGAGAGTTTGATTCTAACATTGCCTAGACAGGAAAGTAGAAGATGGACTCCAAGAGCAAGAGTATATATTCTGAAGGAGTTGCAGGAGCTTGTCAGCTTGTACTGGGAAAACTCCAGGGACCGCGAGGACAAGTTTATTGATATGGGTACACTCATGCAAGATCTGCATATCATTTTATGAACTGAGCACCTGAGAGTGGTGTTAATATTCTGTTTGGTTGCTGGAAGCCTGGATTCGACAGTGGCCAATGATCAATGAGGTTGATATGTCAGGATGTCACTGGCATATTGTAGAACACTGCTCCCCAAATGCCAGTGTGTGTATAATTCACCTGGGGGAGTCTTATTAAACTGGAGTTTCTATTCAGTAGGTCTGGGGTGAAACCCAACACGTTTCACATTTCACAAACTTTCAAATGATGCTGATACTGCTGGTCATTGGACTATACTTTGAGTAGCAAAGGAGAGGAAGGCATGCAAAGCTTAGAGAGATGGGAGTTTTGGAGTGCACCTATTATGTACACCTCCGAAAGGCCCAGAAAGACACTTTCTTCTCCAAGGCAGCAAGAACAATCGGCGAGGGGAACACTAGCTTCTTAGGAAAGCACTGAATGGCTTCTTTAGTAGGCTAGATATATGGTTGAGAGATGCTCTTTTGGGACTGGGCAGGCTTATTTCAAGGGGACTTGTGGAATCCTTGAGTGGTGGAGG